TTTTCGGGTTACTAACTAAAAATAATCAAAAAGAGAAACATGATATATTTATACACCTTATAAAAATCTGCATAAAATTTTACGTTTGAAATTCGTTAAATGTTTTAAATGGTAAATATTATGCAAAATTAAATTTCTATAATTTCCATATTTGCACATTGTTTTCAAAGCTTCTATAATATTTTGATACCATCCTAAAGAGAGAGAAAGATATTTTTTTACCTAAACTTACAACCTCTTTAAGATATTTCCAATCTTGGCATTGAATATCTAACCTGGTTTATAATTCAAATTACATTAAATCTGTTTTGGGATATAAATCTTAGTCTTTTATCTGCGTGGTCTATTTTATTCACTTCATCAAATCTAGTGGTCAGACTGGGGAAAGGATGCATGCTTCATCTAGAAGACTTCAGTATTGGTTCTAATTGGTCTGGAAGGGCCAAATTAATCTTTCACTTCGTCTGATTAACTTGAAAGATCTCTCTCTTCAAAGTTTTCCCAACCAAATATAAATTAACTTGGCATCATTATGGACTCTCTTACATTGAATAAATTATTTAAAATGTGCCCGCATTTTTATTTGATAATCTTTTTAGATAATTTAAACAATTTTATTAATTCTTCTAATTGATTGGAACTCGGGATTTTATCGTTATAGTCTTCTCTCTTCATAACGACTGTCTTGCCTACTTAATCTGCCTTAGTTATAACTATGCTAACGTCAAAACTCATCATATATATATAATATTTCCTCTTCATAGCGACTTGATTGTTACAAAAATACATAGGATCAAATAAAGTATAATACGAGGGGCATTCAATAAATAAGTTTCCCTATTTTTTTTTCTGCGAAAGAAACGTTGTAAAAATTAGTAAGTAGTGTAAGAAATGGTCCCTAGGATGCGTTGGAACCGCGTGACCTTCAAAATCACGCTACTCGTACGCGCAAGTCCGTAGCGCTTCAGTTTCCATGGAGCCACCACTGGTGAACGTGTCCACTTGCAAACTACGTTCTGTAATTCGTTTTTTTCACGGAGAAAAATGAAACTGCGGTCAATATTCATCGCAATTTAGTGTCAGTGTATGGTGAAGGATGTATGAGCATCCAAATGGTTCGCTGATGGCGTTCATGGTTCTTAGAAGGACGGCAAAACGTGCATGACGACGAGCGAAGCGGCAGGCCCGTTACTGCTACGGACAATGCAGCCGTTGCTGCTGTTCGGAATGTGGTGGAAGCAGATCGCCGCATCACCATTGACGGAATAATGATTCGACTGCCTCCTGGAATCGAAATTGGACGCCCTTCGATTGGAACAATCATGTCAGATGTTTTGAATTTTCGCAAAGTCTGCGCAAGATGGGCCCCGCGTTTGCTCTCGGAAATTCACAAGCAACAGCGGATGGAGGCAGCCCGAGCTTTCCTGGAAATGCATCGAAGAGATGGAAATCAACTGTTTTCCCGTATTGTCACTGGAGATGAAAGCTGGGTGCATCATTCAACTCCAGAAACAAAACGACAAAGCATGGTATGGAAGAAGTCTGAGGAAAGTGCACCAAAAAAGGCGATGGTCACAATCTCTGCAGGCAAAGTTATGGCTTTCGTCTTTTGGGACTGTAAGGGTGTTTTATTGGTTGACTACCTGCCCCCAAACACTACGGTTAACGCTGCGAGGTACTGCGAAGTCCTCACTAAACTCAGAGCTGCAATAAAACGGAAACGTCCTGGACTTTTGTCTCGGAAAGTGTTACTCGTCCATGACAATGCTCGCCCTCACGCAGCTCGAACGACCCAAACGTTTCTGGAAAACTTAAAATGGGAAATTTTCACACATCCACCTTATTCTCCGGATATTGCCCCAAGCGACTTCAATTTTTTTCCAGCACTCAAGTAGCACCTTGGAGACAAGCACTTTGCGAATGATGAAGAAGTGCAGGCGGAGGCGAACCACTGGCTACGAAGA